TGTAGAGTTAAGTCCTTCTTATATACATCGAAGAAAAGCATACAACTTCTACTGTGGTTCTCTCTTATCGTAATTTTTGCTGACATCTTGATACCTCAAGTAACGTTTGAATTTTTTCAGATTACAATCTCTTTATAGGACTATGAAGGACTGAATATCGATCAGTTACAATTCTGTCAAGTTGATGAACGTGTTGTTGCTCGTTTTCGGGCCGTTCGTGTTGTTCGGTGGAAAGATTAATGGATTCAGATTATTCTCGGGTTGGCTACTGCTCAGCCTACGATATTTCGGCACGGCCAACCTGGAATCGGGCTCCGAACAACCTGTCAACCAGTAGGAGGTCACCCTACCCTTTCCCTTCAGCTCCACTTCCCCTCTGAGCTCGAGATCAAACGTCTTGAACTTGTCCAGGATATTTTTCGTCGCTTCGGAGACGTGTATCCTCAAAGCTGTGAGATACAAATTACAATTTTAAGTTTTACTTGAATATTATATGATTCTTCTTTTCATCATTATTTCCTTCAATTTTCAAAACTCTAAAATTTTATGAATATTTCTATTTTTATTATTAATTAATTTTTACTAATTTTATCTTACGAAGTCCAGAAGATTCCATTCGAGATGCCGTGTTTACGGTGTCACCGAAGAGACAATAGTGCGGCATCCTTTGACCCACCACCCCGGCGCAAACTGGACCGCTGTGAACACCGATCCGCACGCTTAATTGAGTGTTCTGTTTGTGCATTATAGTAAACGACCTCACGGCTTCTAATATGGCCAGAGCCATCAATCCAATTTCCCTCGCGTGTTCATCACCGTTTCTCTCTGGAAGACCGGACGCGACCATGTATGCATCTCCTATAGTTTCTACCTGCAAATTGTTTCACCATCTCTATTCCAAGGTTCTCTTAAGATATAAATATACTTGAAAGTAATTTTTTCTTCTCAAAAGAATAATCTTAAGGAATTTTTAAAAGAAAGAAATAATATATAAATGACTTTATCTACCTTGTAAACATCGTAGAATCCAATAATATTGTCGAAGGTACTGTACAAGTCATTTAAGAAGTCTACTACCTCCATAGGCATGCTTTGTGCGCACAGTGCCGTGAAACCGACGATGTCGCTGAAGTAGATGGTGACGCACTCAAATTGCTCCGGTTGGACTATCTCCCCGGCCATCAGCTGATCAGCAACCTGTCTAAAATTCTATTCTGTTACACAATCAAGCAAAAGGCCATCGCAACTTGTTCGGAAGAAGCTGACAAGAGTGTTCCATTACCTTGGAAGTACCTGATACAACAGTTCCTCGCTACGACGCTTCTCCAGACTTAACTGCTCGGTTTTCTCTTCGACAAGAGCCTCTAAATTGTTGGCATATTGTTCCATCCGCCGCAGCAGATCGTCCATTAAATTCTCGCAATATCCTCTGAAACGTAGACATGCATGATCTTTGTGATGTTTACAGGAGTTTCAATTGTAAAATTTTATGAGAGTTGGATTAAAATGTACTTCATGATTCCTCGTATTGTGCCGCGAATCGTGTGGAAGCTGGGTCGTTCGTCGGGGACCTCGTGCCAGCATCTCTCCATCAGCGACAGTATATCTGGTGGGCAGTCCTTTGGGGTGACTTCCGGCCTCAAAGGAGGATTCTCCGACGCCGATACCCTGCTCACGATCTTCGAAATAAATAATAAGAGAGATAAAATACGAGGAGATAAAATTAAGATTAAATAAGACGATGATAGGCTATACCTCTTGTGTCGTCATAAACGTCCTGGCTACCTCATAAGGACCGCCACGGACCACTATCTCTTCCAAGATAATCGCAAAGCTGTAAACATCGCCCTTCTGCGTCGCGGCGCTTCCGGGAGTCACCGTTAACGGTAATAATTCCGGAGCGATCCAAAGTAATTCTAACAAATGAAAATAAGACGACAGCGTTTCTTCTCAAGAAGCTATAAGGAACTGTATTTATCATATTATTTTTATTACAGACGTGACTCACTGGTGTAATAAGTCTCGTCCATAATCAAATCGGAGGGCGTGGTGAGAGTTTTAAGCCCAAAGTCTGAGATTTTCAGTACGAAGCGACCGTCAATCAGACAATTGCACGACCGTAACTTTCCGTGAGCTGAAACTTCGCTAGCATGAAGATAAGACATTCCCTGCAAGAAAGCAGGTTTTTTTTATATGTTTTCCATCAGCTCTCATATCTTAATCAATTAACTTCACGCGAAAAATGGATTATTGAGCATAGCATTGAAATATATTGGGGAATTTAATGAGAAACGCACGACCTCTACACCTGCCTCTACCTTGACGATATCGTGGATCAGAGACATTCGAAAATTCCAGTCCAATTTAATCGCCTCGTTTTCCAAAACATCCTTCAACGATCCTCGAGGACAATATTCCGTGAGAATCAAAACGGTCGGTGATGGCGAGCAAAGACAAGCTCCGATAAATCTGACAGATAGTTTATAATTAAGTATAATAAGTTGGCAGATTTAAAGTTGCATTAGGTGATATAATGCTGCTCTTATAAAAGAATCTCGCAAACAATTATTTGTTTTATTTAAAAAATAAGATATAAAGAAAGAGAATTCTTACTATTAGTCAAAAATATTGCATCCTCAAAAAATATAGAAAATGCAAATAAATGATAAGTATTTTATTTTGCTATACTTTATGAAAAGAAGTTATTTGGTTGAAAATTTGTTCTTCAACAAAATAATGATTCAAAACATGCCTCAAAATTATGTAGCAAACATAGAAATTACAAATTATATAGCAAACATAGAAAGAAAAAATTAATTGCAAAACATAATTCTTTCAATCATCAGATTTTAATTCAATCAAACTTGATAGAAGTGTCCAAAAAATGTCAGTTAGAAACAATTGAGAGAGAGTGTTTGCAAAGATGTGAAATCAAATATAATAATAACAGCTTTAAAACATATTGTCAGAAATCAAGATTAGATGCAACAGTATTAAAAACAAAGAGAAAGAGAGAGAGAGAGAGAGAGACTATTTTGAAAAATCAAGAATCTAATATGTCTGTTATTATTTGTTATAATTTTTAATTGTTACGATATTAAGACACAAAATTAGAGTAATAAAATATAATTTGGTGATAATTATATTTTTTTGTTCATTAAAGGTCTTTCTAAATAAATAATAAAGTTAATATACTTTCTAAATAAATAATAAATAAATAATAAACTTTCTAATAAATGATGCAATACTTTTGACCGTATATCGTATATTGATGTATATCGTTGAGAGATGAATACCTCACAGTGTTTTCCGACGTGACATCCCTGACTTGTTTAATTTCCCAGAGTAATTTCTTCGTGACGTCGACCACCTTCTTCTTCGTGATCTTCTTAATGGCCACCCTCTCGCCCTTGTATATCCCGATAGTGGTGAAGACTCTCGCGGGTGGCAAAGATTCACAACTGATCTGCGAGCCTCGACGTATCTTTTGGTCCAATCCAAAATTCTACAAATTCAAATTTATCGCTGTAGACTTTTCACGCACACATTTATGACTCATTTACTTACATTCGTATCCGACATTGCTTGGTGCAGGTTTATCTTTGACGAAAATTGTTTTCCAACCTCGAGAAGCAATTCCTCGGGTCTTACACGCCAAGTCATGTTATTCAAGTCGGCCGCCAGCCGTAAATGCCTGAGGAAAGAATCTTATCTTGTATTTCAATTAATATTTTTTCCATACATATATGTTCCATATATATATATATATATATATATATATATATATATATATATGGTATACATATATTGTTTCCTTTCTTCAAAAGGAAGTATTTTATTTTTATTATTATTAATTTTATATTAATAATTATTATGAATTAAAATAAAATGATAATAATTATTATAATTATCATTATTTTAATATTATTATATTATTATATTAATATAATTATTATTATATAATAATAATAATAATTATTATTATTATATATAATTATTATTATTATATTTTGTATAAATTATTATGTTATTAATTTTATTTTAATTTTATTTGTACTTTTTATTAATTTTGCAGATATATTTGTGCTAAATTTCCACCAAATTTAGAATATGGAAAACATATCTGGTCTACCTGTATAAAAGGCATGCGGCTGTGATCGTAGCGAGTAGAAACACGGCGAGTGCTATACTCGTATAAACTACAAAAGTGTAAGCTTCCGTCCTTGATGAGCAAGCCGGATCATTTCCTAAAAAGCCGCACTCTGGAATATCTGGCGGAGGTCCTTCCATTCCTCCCGGCCAATGGATTTTCTTACCGTACACAGAATTATATTCTCGACTTAATCCCAAATAATGAGCGACCACCTCGAACCTGTAAGGTATACGTCAGTTTCCTTTTCTTAATTTTTTTCATGATAATTTCTATAGTATTTTATTAGAACGTGTATGATAGTGCTTTAATTGATCGTTCCTTCCTGTTTTGAGGAACCTTTTTATAAGTTTCTACAATATCTTAATTTAATTTTAAACAAAAAATCTTAAGTATCTAAGCGCTCGAATCATAAAATCGCAACTTCCAATACATATTATTATTAATTTTATTCACGCAGGGATAAACCCGCGTTGAGCGGATTATCTGAATTTTCAATGACCTTCCGGTAATAGGATCTAAATCAAGAATGCTGTAATCTGCATCACGATCTCCATTGTCGTCTATCCTGACGTGGCCAGTAATGCCAATGAAGTCTCGATCCCACATTCTCCTTGTTATAGATATACCATCTCTGATATCGCCACCCTCGGCTAAGGTCTCGTTCAGCGCGATCCCTAACAAGTAAACACCGTCGTAAAAAGCCCCGACGAAGAAATTCACCTGTGGGAAAAGCGATGAATTCATTTCGCTTCGCAGATATTTGAGATTCTTATTTTGAAAAGATCACAATTTTTGAATTTATCACGACACAAGTGATCTATAAAGTATTATTACAACTGGCTCACTTCTTCGCCCTCCGAAAATGTGTAATTGTAATCCGACTGTGCTCGTTGCCTGACGCTATCGGCGAAGTCCTGAAATCGTGGACTGGTCGGCTGAAGAAGAGACACCCTTAATAAGGCTTCATAAGCCTTCCTGGCAGCGGCGTCATCCTCATCTCCGACCTCCCAGTCGTGATCACCCCAGTAAGAACCCTTAAAATTGTTTTGTTGCTTTAAAATCGATGAGAAAAGTGTCATCTCATTTTTTACTGTCATGTTTACGTATATCTTTTCTTGTCCCATTTCTTTCTAACATCTTACATGAAATATCTCAACGTCGAGGAAAGCCCATTCCCCTCTTGTCATTTCCAACTCGTGGGCGGCTAGCATAAATTTCCTTACCAGCGTTCCGCGGACGCTGAGTATCACGACTGTTTAGAAAATTATTATTAATATTAAACGTGATTTTTATTTCATAGAAAAACATAAAATGTCCTAGAATCCACTTGGATGTTATAAAACGACGGGGATTTATATTCATTTATTTATAATTATATATACAATTGTCATTTCACATAAAATGATACAAGGCATTTTTTTTCAAAAAATGCTTCCGATAAAATTGATGAGTTTCGAAGGGAAAAAAAGTTGATATTGAATTTTAAAGTCAAGGTAAATATTCACCCTTACTTACCCTTCACCATCTTAACATATGTTATCAAAAATCATCGGGGTTTAGTAAAAATGAATATTTACTTTCAATGTTTGATCTTATTCTTATAATTTTTCATTCCAAGAAATCGACTTATATAAAAAAATTAGGATGGTCTTATTTCTATTTAAAAAAAACTAGACATGATCTTGAAAAATGACTTTAATTAAAATTCAAGATTATTAACTTTCTTTTCTCTTAAAATTTTATCAATTTTATCTTAATATTTTGTAACACTTTTATACATCTTTTGTATATGTTTTAAAATTTCAGAAAAGACTATGAATTCGAACTTCAAGACATCTTGTGCGATTACACTTACTTCTGGCGTACATGCTCGCGTCGCGAAGGTAAAGATGATACGATTCGTCGTCGGAATTCCCGTCCAAATCCCTCACAAACTTCAAGAGCCCTTCCTTACGTAGACCATATTCCAGATTCTTTCCTACCGTCAATGAAAACAAGTCCGATCTGTCCAATATCAACGCAACATGAGACCATCCGAACTCTTTGAACACGCTAGAGAAGACGAGCCGCAATCGACACTGGCAGTACGACATTCTCGTTAAAGTGGGATACTTGCTTTTGTCTTTAAAAATCCCCTTCAAGAAAAAGATGAAACACACATCATGGGAAACGAAAGGTTCGTTCGTGAAAAAAAGATCGCTATGAGAAAAGTAATAATATCTAGATTAAGATTATTCCTTAAAATAAAACAGGACTCATGCCAATATAATTTATAATGATATGTCATAAGTGTAAATAATTGGGGAATTTTTTATAATAATAATTATCACAAGAAAAATGTGATACACGAAGAGAACACGCTGCCATAATTCCGAGTTTTTATGGGAAGAGGTAAAATTAAACACGAGTGCGTTTATTTCTTTCAAGCGAAAGTAATAATTTCCTGTAACCTTCGTTGTCGTAATTAGCGCATATCCAGTGAAAATATTAAGATGATGCCATATTAAAAAGGAAAAAGAGAGATAGACAGAGAGAGAGAGAGAGAAGAGAGAGAGAGAGAGAGAGACTGTCGAATAATAATACAACATCAACTATCATAAATGCTCAACATGCTGGCGATCTTACAATAATTAATGAAACCAAAAAAAATTCTATAAGGCGATTCTCTCGCAGCTCCTTACCGACGTTTCATTCTTCCACTTATGGATCCTTCCAAGGATACCAGATGTGACTGACAGTTCGCCCTCCGAGGGAGGCTTGGGGTTCGCAAGAAAGCGATAATTACGTTTCACATAATTTAATATTAACGTCGACAACACGGCGATTTATTTTAATTTCGAAGCATATGGCGCAAAATTAAAACGGAATATCAAGATGGAATGATGTCAAGTGAAATTAATTCAAAAATTCGACACTATAAAAATTAGAGTTGTACCGCGCGTAATAATATCCCTCTCTAATAATGATCTCCAAAAAATCATATTACAATTCTTTTTCTTCGAGAAAAAGAAAGAAAGAGAGAGATTAATATTACATTAATGAGGATATATATATATATACAGAGTGCCTACTTCCTGAAAAAATATGAAATTTTTAGGGATTTCTTTTGAACCGGAAGAATCAAGGAATTCTCTAATTCTAGAATTTTATTAAGATTCGAAACTTGAAAGAGAGAATGTTTTTTTGAGAATGTTTTTTAAAAAATTCTCTCTAATAAATTTTGCACTTACAAAATAAATGAATTATCATTTTAAAATATATTATAAATATATATCTTTTTTTTAATAATATATTCAATATATTAACAAAATATTTCAAACATTTAAAAAAAAGAGTTACAATAAAAGAATTATTTTAGAAAGTCGAGCTAAGAAATCTTTAAAATGTTTTCTTTATTTGCAGTTTCGAGCAAAAATATCTGGAGCATCGAGGAATTTTCACGGAACTCTTTTTACAAGATTTCAGTAGACATCTCGATATATATCCGTGATGCAAATAAAAGTTGACGGAAAGTTAATCGTGCGAACCGAGCGCGACGAAATGTACATAGAGGCAATAATCAGATGCAATATTTATGTGTGCGTATAATTGTGAGGGCAAATTCAACCTACTTGATCACCCATGCCCGTGATAATCGGACTGTTCCAATAAGCCGCGAGTCGTGCCACTGGTTCCAGGGCGAAGGCACAAGCCGGTCCGATGAACGCGATCGCGTTATCTTGGAAGTGCATGTCCGCTGCCAAACCAGGTGCTGTTGCTCCGCTGCACGATGGATAACTGCAGAGAATTTTATTTCTTTTAATTTTATTATTTTTATTTATTTACATTTATTTTTCGAGTTTGCGTCATGATTTGCTAGAACTAAACCTCAAGATGAGGGCTTATCATCAAAAACGCAATATAATATTAGGGTATAATATCAGGTATATAATATCAGGGTGTCTACTTCTTGGAAAACTATGGGGAACGTTTCAAGAGTTCTTTTGTATCTGAAAAGATCAAAGAATTCTCGCGGAATTTTTTAAAAAAGCCAAGTGAATTATATCTGAAAAATATATTATAAATATATATATCTATGTCTGCTTATATGTATATTCAAAATATTGAATGATAATATGCAGTGCATATTCCTTTTTTAATTTTTAATTACAAAATATGCACGTAAAAAAATTATTTTATGATAGCTATTCAATTTTTTTTCAGTAAATTTGTACTTGAAACTCAAGTAGCCCTGTGTTTTTCCTTTGTATAAGTAAAAAGTATTAGAAGAAAAAAATAATACAATAAAAAGAAACTTATTTTAGAAAGCTGCATAAAAAAATCTAGAAAATATTTTCTTTGCCTGGAACTTTGAATAAAAACACAGAGATTTTTTTTTGCAAAATTCGAGTAGACATTCTGAATATAAAAATGACACTGTATCGTGTATTATATAATTATTGCTATCGTGGGAGAAGCGTTTCGCATATATTAATATAGGAAAACATATCCTGTATACACGATTAATATCAATCTAATGTAAAGCCTCGTGATGGATCGCATGGTATATTAAGGCGCAAACATGTAAGCGCGATCGGATTACCCGAAAGGGTGGAAACGGCGAGAAAATGTGCGAAATGTTTGCGTTTTCCTCCCGCGCGTGCAGTTGCATGTGACGCACGTACGTGCGTCCTTGAGGTCCTGCGAAATTGCGAAATTTGCGTGTGTTTCCGCACGCTTTACGCGCAATTAGCGACGAATAGCGACGATAATCAACGCTGTGCATCGCGCTGTGAGATGCGTAGAGAGAGAGAGAGAGAAAGAGAGAGAGAGAGAGAGAGAGAGACGCATCGCGCGGATGCAAGAGCTCGAAATGACGGCTCGCATTAATTGTACCGAGATGAATGGCCAATGATTGGATTCCCGTCGATCTGTCCTAATGAAAATGTCGAAAACATTATACGCATTACCAAGAAAAGAGAAACATATCGCCCTCTCTGTTCCCATATTTTTCACGAATTATTTTATTATTTTTCATGACTTATTTATTGTTATATCATTTTATTATTTTATTATTATTTCGCATTTTAATTTTTAATTATTATTTTTTGTTTCAACGATTTTATTATTATTTTATTATTTTATTATTTTATGTCATTTTATTATTGTATTATTTTTTACGAATTATTTATTATTATTATTTTATCATTTTATTATCTTATTATTCTCATTTATTACTATTATTATTATTAATATTGTTATTATTATTATTATTACTATTATTGCTATTATTACTGTTAGTATTATTAATACTATTATTATTACTATTATTATTACTATTATTATTATTATTATTATTATTATTATTATTATTATTATTATTATTAATATTGCTATTCTTACTATTATTATTATGATTATTCTAATTTTTTATTTTTTGCGAATTATTTATTGACAATAGGATCGTTCAAACCGCGATGAAAGCGAGTTCGCATAATTCATTATCATCGTTGAATTTTTTTCATCGAGAATTGTCGATCGATTAGAAGAATTTTCATTTCATCATCGCGCGAAATTAAATGATATCGTGAAATTTGTATTCCTCTGTCATCATCGAAATAACACGCAGCAATCCCCAAAGCAACAGATGATATTGCGATATGTGTAACGCGGACGTAGGCGCGACGTTACATATAGAACTACTTCCACATATACGAGAGGAACACTTCATACATACGATGTATCGTGTATGTGTGTAGTAAAAAGTGAATGAGATCAATAATCAGGGATGTCATACATAAATGATTTCTCTTATAAATTATTCGCCGATTTCTCTCCTCGCTAAGTACCGTAGAATTTTTACAGCTGTACGAGACGAGAGTATCTTTCCGTGCAAATGCTCGTTCAATTGTGTCAATGTAATGACGCAAAAGAGATGCATAGCAGCAAAGTGAAATGATCCAAACGAGAAATTTATGGCCATTCGAGGAAATATCTCGATGCAAGAATCTATGTTTAACGACACTTTACATTTACTAAGTGTCACATATTTATTCGAGTTACTTTATGTTCGATTAAACGTCGTTTCAATATTTTTAAAACAAAAACTTAGTTTTCCCAGGATCTTCGATCTTTTTTCGCCTCCGATGTAAATGATAAAAAATAAAAAATCGAGGACCAAAATGACCGAAATGACGCATCATGAATGGTTCCTTAAAGAAAACAGGCGTTTTATTTTATTTTAACAATTACGAAGGAGCGAGTTCTTTTAATTCGAATTTTTAAGCGCGTTTTGTAATTCGAATATATTTTTCGTGACGATTGGATGCTGCATCAAAGTTGCCAGATCTCCGCCGCAAGCAACATGCAACACCTCGTGGAGGGGATAACGGGGATTTAGCGTAACGTACATGTGAGCTCAGAGAAGCGCTAAGCTGACACGTACGTTACGCTCACATCCTCGTTATCTCCTCCACAAGGTGTTGCATGTTGCTTGCGGCGGAGATCTGGCAGCTTTGTGCTGCATTTGTGTTAGATTGATTTCAACGGCCAGATTTTCAGCTGTTGTGGCCTCGCCACATTGATTAATTAATATAACGTGAAAATGATGAAGTAATCTTTTTTTTCCTGTTCGTAACAGTAGTTATTGTTATATACCTTCCCTGTACTTTGCGCAGCTGTACATTGTGAACGCTCAGGAAGTCGTTCACTTCCGCCAGAGCCAGATCGACCGCTGGACCACATCGCTCAAGATCAAACGGGCTGTCGAGATGGGATGCCATAAGGACGCCCACATTGTATACCCGTAGAGAATTTCCGTAATCCACTGTGTGCAGTCAGGAAGGATCAAAGGCGTGAATCCTTCGTATCCACACGTTGACAAATATTTGAATAGTTAATTAAAAATAATATTTAAACGTTAAACGGAATTTCAAATTAAATGCAAAGCGGGATAATCAACATAAATATTAGGGTTCACGAGATACTAAGACTTGATGTTGCTTTGTGTTGTTTCGAAGTTTGAGGGACAAGATCAAAACAAGATCTTTTAATTAGTCGAGACGATATTAAAATTAAGAATTTCAATATTATTAATTTTAAAAAAATGCAAATGCCTTTTCGTAACGACATTGAATACATACAATGCTTTAGAAAGTAAACAAATGACATAATAATAACTATTTTAAATTATATTACACAAAGATTATGTTAAATATTATTTTAAACAATCTTTCAGTATTAGATAAAAGTTATTAATAAAATCAAAACAATACAAAACGAGATTGTTGCTATAAAAATTCACTCAAGATCAAGACACAAGATTTCGAAAATTTTCAATAATGATACAATTTTTTTACGAATATTGTCTTGAGTCTTGTGCAATTCTAATAAATAGTTATTATTCATATATTTAAGAAATATTTTTAAACTTTTGTGGTTCATTTCAAAAGCTGTTAAAGCATTAAGATGTATGTGAGAAATGTTAAATATTCTGAGAAATAAAATATCGAAAAAAATTTTTAAATGTAGTTGAATAAACTACAGTCGAATGAGATATAAAGTAATGATATAAAGTAAAATTTAATGACTGCAATCGTTGGCAATAATTTTAAAACTCGGATTTTTTTGCTCGAATTTAAACGAATTTGTCAGCACGTTAATTATGCACGATTATGCTTAAGCGAGCGAGAGATATGTCAATGACGTGTCGCTATTATTCGTTGAAGAAATCGCATTCGTTTTATTCTCACGCGCGATTACACAGGACATCGAAAGGGAAAGAGGACGTTGAATACTGAATTAGATGCCATGCATATCCAATGAACTTGTTCATCATCAAAATGAAAAAAAGATTCAAAAAGGGAAATCAATCAATCAATCAATCGATATGAAGATCAAACAAAATACGCTTGATAATCGCATTTATTGAATGACAAAAATAAAGTTGAATGACAAAAATAAAATTGATATCAAAAATTAAATATATCAAAATTATTTTCGTTATTTATATTAAATATATTATGCGTTTTAATAAATTTTTAATCCATTATAAAATGTGTCTCTTATATGAATATATTATTTTAAAAAATCTTTCATGTATACTTTTATTTAAATAATAGAAAATAACAAATAATTTGTTTATAGACTCAAAAACGCAGGCATATTTAAATAATTTTCTTTAAGAGAATTATTCGATATTCTTGTATACGCCAATTATATTGTATAATATATTAAAAACGATTATATAATTATACAATAAATTATACGAAATTAACAAAAAAAATTTCGATGAAAAATACAAAAATATTTAAATAAAACACACATATGAGATTCTTGATGTCAAATAAAATTAAGATTGCGAATTTTTTTCTGAGACACTCGTGTGCATATTCTCACAATATTTTGATGAAATGTTTCGCGAATAAACAAACATCTTACCACGCGACACATTCACGAGCCACGACACTTGCGAGGCAACGAGAATCGACAGCACGAGCGATCTCGTTTTCGCGAACATAACGGCAAAAGGATCCTGGAAAGAAAAATCTACAGGTGGTATGCGACGAGGATCGCGTTAAAATAAAAAAAAAGAAAAACGGACGAGGCACGCACACATACGCACACGCACCGCTGAGCCACGTCTAAAGTTTCGCGGGGAAGGATTCACCCTTATATAGGGGTTGACAGGGGAGTCTCACGGAGTTGTGGCAACGCGCAATCCAACGCGCTCTCTCCGGAAATACACGATACAAAAAAAAAAGAAAAATACCGCATACATTATATGCATCTCGTCCGTATTCTTTTTAAATTCAAATTTCATCAGTTAATAAAATTTTCAAATTTCTTCCATAATTTATTATATTCTTAAGTTCGTGAAAAAAATTTTTTAAGAGTCTATAATTTATTTTTATTTATTTTAATAAATATAAAAATATAATATAATTTATATTTTTTTATAAATTTAAATTCGTATTTATTTCGAAATTTATAGCGAGGACTAAATAAATTTATTTAGATCCTTTTCTCGGCGATGCTTTTCGTGTCCTCGCGAGATAAATGAAGATCGAAATCACTTTTCGATTAAAAGCGAAATTTCGTTATTCGATATCACGCGAAAGAGAGGATCAATGTGCCAATTGTCGCGAATAAATACGCAGAATCTGAGCACAGCTTGCATTTCGATCTCCGATAGTTGACATATCGTATGTACGTAAGTGACATATAGGGTGTCTCGGGAATCATTTTTCCTTTATTGATTTTTCGAGCCGATTTTTCTTCAGTGAAATCGGATACAATTCGCATAATATAAGGGACGAGGAGATTCTCTGTACATATACGTAATACGTATGCTTAAAAAAATCAAAGATATACAAACCTGCATCGAAATGAGAGGAGTCTGGGCGAACCTTTCAACAGAATGAAGTGCATTATAGCGTGCCAAGTTAAATCCTTGGGGGATTTTTAGGATATATAGTGATGATCCTGGATATAGCGAGATTGTACAGCACATGCAACGATGAAAGTAATGTAATCGGATTGATTTAAGGATGCCTCGTTACTTTGTACATTGACACTCGTTATCGAAAAAAAATTCAAACTAAATGTAATTGCTAATTATAAGATAAAAATATATTAAAAATATAAAAAAAATATAATAAAAATATAAGATTACATTTTTGACACAAAGTGTGATATATATATTTTTTAACTCAATAGTCGTATTATTTTTTATATAATCTAGGTATAAACTGCGCATTTATTTTATCTTAAGAGCATTTTTTTTAAGTCCTGAAAATTTTTGATAATTGATTGCATTATGCATTTCTTGCTTGCTGTATTATTCATGATTTATTAATTGGCAATACACATATTTTTATTTAATAATAAAATCATAAATAATTATATTATCATAAATGAAATTATATAATTTTTTTATTATCACAAATAAAAATATACGCATGTACATAAGTGATTATTAATTGTTACATATAAACATTGACAGAGTTATTGCAGAATCGTTTGAGAAGCGTGCCTCCGCGATCGACCAATGAGCGACAAGGTCGCGCAGGCGCGACCAATCGTTGTTTATCGAACTTGACTTATAGCGAGTCGCGTGACATATGTCATCATATTTCCGCGCGGGCTTCTGAGACTGCGTCTGCTCGCTTGCAAAATAATAACTTATAAATATTTGATGATATCTGAAGCGAATAGAGATGACTTTATCGAAGGAAATAAAGCGTGATAAACAATGGTATTTATAATTGCGATCAATATTTCATGAGAAATATTAGATATATATATTTGTTGTTTGAAAAATACGCAACACGCAATTAATATATTTCGGTACATAACCCTTTCTACGAACTTCTGTTTTGGCAGTTATTCAATTAGACGTAATTATTATCATGACAGTAATTATTATTTCTTAAGCATCGTATTTTCTATATAAAAAATAAGGAAATACGCGTATTTATTTGTAAAACGTTTTCTATTATTAAATCAGAAGAAATAAGAGAAAATATTATAATAAATATTATAATATCATTTTTCCAATATCTATATTTTTAACTTTATATTCGTAAATTCATGATATTTTCATATTAAAAATTAATAATATAAATTAATAATATAAATTAATAATATAAATAAAAAATTAATAACATTTCGAAACAAAAATATATAATTATTATATACAATATAACATCATTGAATTATTTGATTTGAAATGGTAAAACAAATTCACAAGTTAAAGGAATTTTTTCCAGATTATTCAAGACTTTTTTTCATTAAAAAATACAAAATATAAAAATTTAACCATATATCAGTTTATATATATATATATATATATATATATATATATATATTTATATTTTACATTTAATTTTTTTACATTTAATTAAATTGCAGATCAGTTAATTAATTAGATGAAATGTTTTTTAGTTTGAAGAGAAAATCTATGAACATGATCTCTTACACACATTGTTTGCGAGAATTTAATTCTCTGGCTAATAATAAAAATAATAATAAAATAAAAAAATAAAAAAAATAATAATAAAATAAAATAAGAAAACAATAATAATAATAATGAGAAAATAAAATAAGAAAATAATAATAATAATAATAATAACTGTCATATATCTTATATATTAATAATAATATGCTATCGAAATGATGATTGCAATTTACGAACGCACGTGATAGGAAACGCGCGTGTTTCGATAATGTTTACATGTTTACATTTCGCGTTACGAAGAACCAAACGGCATAAATAAACAAACGTAAGCATATCGCGAGAATGATATTACTCGTCTCCTAATGAATCTCTACAGCCTATATTTATTGGCATCGCTTCTTCTGTGCCTCTCCTCGTCTCCTCTCTTCTTCCCTTCCACCTTCTTTCCTTTTATGAAACGTGTGGAACTATGTCTCTGTATCTCCGGTTGGCTCGACGGTATCGTACGATGTTATTTTGCGAGAAAGCCAGCCAGCCAGCCACGTGTCGGGATGTGACGCATCGTATATGTTACTTTTGTATATAAGAATCGAGGCGTTTCAGGGCTTGCTTTAGTATCAACGATCGTTCGAGAACGTACGGTCGGTTCTCTCTGAACTCACACCAGTCTTGTCTCGATTACGTTAACGTCAAGTCGCACTCGATTCGACGAATCGAGAACTTGATTTTTGGAAAGTTGAAAGAGACCAGGAGTTGATCTTCGAGGTTGATCTTATTTGATTTATTTCTGCGAGAAAAATACAGAAGAAGATATTTTTTATGAGCTTTGCGATGTCTTTCAGCAGATATACGACTCATCGTCGAAAGTGTATTTTGTTAACTAGGTGAGTGAGTTAATTGACTCTCTTATTGTGTGTCTTTGGATTCGTAAGAAATTAAAGAGTATATAAATTAATAGCGCGTAGAGACAACAAAACATTATTTATGAAATCAATATGAAAGCGATGAGAAAGTTTTGGGACAAACGTATCGGATTTCCAATTAAATAAATCGGTCAATGAAACAATTATGCGATTAATCAGATCTTCCAAGGACAATTTAAATCACCTCAAGTCTCGCACATGCTATAGTAAACACTAAACTATTTTTCGCGTGTGTCATCGCGTAAAACCAATTGCAATTGCGTAATTTTGCTAATGAGACTATCGCGGAAATGCTATTATTATCGACTGTAAATACCATTAGTACGAGAATTGTTTACATCATTATCATATATTGATGTTATCAAAATATTGGACAGAATAATTGAATTAACATTATAATCTGCTGTAAAATCGTACAAATGCACATAAAATGCACGCGATTTAAACGTCAAATTCAGTCAAATCAGTGAGAAGAAGCGACATCACGTTCGACGCCTCACCTCATCGATCAGCTGATATTGACAGATCAGGTTAGATTGACAAGTATAGAAAATATGGCATCGTTTTAAGCAGTAACGCATAATTATTTGCGTATATTTTCTTTTTTCTCGTTGTAATATTCGGAATATAAGTCATCTATCTGTCTCGTTATAATAAAAATGTACTTGAAATAATTGCGAGGAAAATGGAAATACGAGGTATAACAGATGTGTCCACTATTCTTGATTTTTCTAGAATAGAGGTTAGGTTAACTTTTGATTTTAATTTTTTTGCTTTTAGAAATATGTAGGACTATTTATAGAAATTTATGATAAGAGGCTACTTATCATCCTCGAGTTATTCCAAATACGATTAACGTTAAATATAAATCAATATAAATTGATATACTAGTTATATTGCTATAATAAATATATATTGATGTTTTTGTCTTTTATAGTTAATACTATTTTTTTATAAAAGAGAAAATTTTAAATTTTTGTTTATTCTGTAAAAATAAAATTGAGTATTAAAAATATAAAGATAAGATCAATACCAATGTAATTGTGTATGTTTACGTCAAAACTGTGAGAAATGAATTTTTTTATTATTTATATTAATATTCGTTATATATTCAGTATAAATTAATATATTAATTATATTGCAACAATAAATATTTATGCTTTTATCTTTATTTTATGGTTAATATTTTTTTTGAATGAAAGAATTTAATTTTGTTTATATTCTACAAATATAATAAATAGAATAGAATATAAAGATAAGATCAATATATATATGTTTTGTATCTGTTTATGTCCAACGAGAAATTATAAAAAATGAATTGTGAAAAAGCTTTTTATTAATTACAGACAACTTACGGATAGCGCAACTGGTAAAGATGCCAGTGGAAATGTAACAAATATCACGAATAAACTTTTATCCTCCATAAACGATATAAAAAAAGTCAAAATGTCAATGCCGAATCAGTGGAAGCTCTTGTCACAATTAAAGGATTATTTGAATAAAAACTATGATAAAAATCAAATTAATCTCTCCAAGGATTGGTTGGATACCTTGCAGAAATTAACTTACTCACAGCTCGAAACAATACGAAAATTATCATCAGACTCTATTAAAACTATTAAAACTGATGCAAGCAAGACCTCAGATACAAAACATAAGACCTCAGATACAAAACATAAGACCTCAGATATAAAAGATAAAGAAAACAATGATTCAGAGAATATAAAATTAACATTCATGTCTGATCAAACAGAATCTCTTGTAAATAATTCTACAAAGATACAACCAAAAACGCAGCAGGTAATTATATATAAACTAAATCAAATAAAAAGTATCGATCTATTTTATATAAAAAATTAATTTTTATTCTTAGCAAACTTGTGAACAAAGCATGCCTGATAATAAAATAGAATCAAAAGAAACCTTTACGGTGCCACAAATTCTCTCTACATTGTTTTTGAAGTTATCCCCCAAAAGTACACAAATAAAAACTACCAAACTAACTATACCAAAGTGGAAAGTTCATAGCACTATTCCAAAGCATAGTATTGTCTCTCGCACGCGTCACGTCTTGAACAGTATCGTATCAGCCGAGTCAAATGCTTCAAAGTGGCGCAGAATCGAGGATTTATTGATGCACATCGATCAGTATCCGGAGGCGAGACATTACGCTATCAAAGAGGGTGCTATTAAGATTTTACTGCGAATTCGTCAGAAGACGAAGGATGAACAAATTCATGGTATGTAAGCAGAAAGTTCAGTTACAGTTATTTTACAGTTTGTTATTATTGATGGCTATTCATAGCAATATTTCAAAACGTAGTATTGTATAGTACACATCTTGAACAGTTCAAAATGATTTTTGTAGCATCTATTAGAGAGGCGTTGGCTGTAATGGGTTATATTGATCCTCCACCTGGTCGAGGCATCAGAATCTTGTCGATCGACGGCGGTGGGATTCGCGGAGTACTGGTTATAGAGATGTTGAAGAAATTGGAAGAGCTCACAGGAAAAAAGACATATGAAATGTTTGATTACATATGTGGCGTCAGTACAGGCGCCATTCTTACTTCTGTTTTGGGTAATTAGAAATTTTCTTAAGCATTTGACTAATTTCTTAAGCATTAAATATAGATAATACATATCAAAACTATTAACTTTTTCTTTATATGTGTATATCCAAACTAACATATATGTCATCTGTACATGCAGTATTACCAAAGGATGCTTTGGAAGGTAAACTTTTGATTGGTTTACAGCATGTACTGCCTGCAATTTAGTTCACTATAAAATGGAAAGTTTCATGAAATTACTGTTTATCACGAAATTTATTCTTTCACTTCTTATTGCAGCGGGACACAAGAGAAAATCATTGGACGAAGTTTCGGGATTATACAAAGAGCTGAGCACCAGAGTGTTCACACAGAGTGCTATAAAAGGCACAAGCAGTTTAGTTTGGAGTCATGCTTATTATGACACTGCACTATGGGAACAATTATTAGAGGAGCATATTGGCGATAAAATTCTTATTAAAACCACGCGAGATCCAAAAGCACCAAAGGTATGTTTAGTATAACATTGACAGGGTGTTTATCTCTGGAAAAATGGAAAACCTGAGGAATTCTCAGGAATTTTTTTTGTAAAAAATCTGTGGAAAAATAATGGAATTCTCATGGAATTTATTGGAATTCAGAAAATTTTTTTTTAAATTCTCTTTGATATTTTTACTTTCTATTGTAAATAATTGGCAAAGGCCACACACAAGTGAATTATATATTAACATGTATTAAAATATATTAAAAATGTGTTAAAATATATTAAAAATATATTAAAATATATTATAAATTATATTAAAATTTCAAATTTAAAATATATTAAAAATGTATTAAAAATATATTATATATTTAAAATATATACATCCATTTCTAATATTTATCGATCTTAACTATTTTTAACAAAATATTGAATATGCAGTATATATCCTTTATTATCATTTTTAATGATAAATAAATAAGAATGTTATACAATGATGACAAATAAAAAATTTTTATCTTACAAAAATTATTCATTTTTATTTAATATATTATAGATCTAATGCAAATGAAACTTAAGAGACCTTATTATTATTTAATTTAAGAGACTTTGTTTCTTTAAATATAAAAAATATTAAAAAACACCTAATAAAAAATTTACTTGAGAGAGTTAAAAAAATCAAAACATTTAAAATATTTTCTTTAGCTGAAATATTCTGTACAAATATATCTGAAAGGTCAGGAGATTGCAAGATTTGAATAGATACTAGTTGAACAAAAAAAACTCTTTGAATGGAATGTATAAATGTATGAGCCATATGTGGATAATTTAAATGTAAAAGACCTTTTTTTTTGTTTTTAGTTCTCAAAAGACCGAGCTTGAATTTTTAGTTTTCAGCAATATCCGCCGTGGTGAATCGCGGGAACGTCATGGCTTATGTATTTAGAAATTACACGTTACCGCACGGAGTGGAAAGTCAGTACATGGGATCTCATAAATATAAGTTATGGGAAGCCGTAAGAGCGTCAGCTGCTGCACCGAGTTACTTCGAGGAATTTAAATACGGCGAACATCTTCATCAGGATGGCGGTACGCTGCGCAATTCGATGCAAGATTGCGTTCAATAAGATTTTCAAAGCATTATCGAAAATGATTGTAAAATAAAAATATCATTTGCAGGCATTCTAGTGAATAATCCATGCGCCGTGGCGATTCACGAAGCCAAACAGCTATGGCCAAATAATCCAATTCAGTGTGTTATATCATTCGGGACCGGTCGAATCCCACATCATATTCATGAGAATGAATCTATGGTGGTCGAGCTTTCGAGCTGGAGAGAAAAATTCTACAAAATTTTGGACAGCGCCACTGATACAGAAGGTAGCTTTAATAACAATATAAATATATAAACGATTGTTGGCTCACAAATTATTTTGAGAAACAAAAAAAATTGAAAAAAATATACAATGTTAAACTTGATCCTAATATCGATTTTTCAGCTGTGCATACGATGCTGAATGACCTATTACCTGATCATATCTACTTTAGATTTAATCCCTACTTGACGGAAATGCTATCAATGGTGGAAATTCGACCTGAAAAGATCAGTCAAATGGAACAGGATGCAAGAATGTACATTCGTCGAAACGAAGAGAAATTCCAAAAGGCTGCTACCGCTTTGCTGGAAAAACGACGAATCCAGCAGAAAATTGTTGATTACATTACACTACAAAAACAATTATTGGCTCCATGAAAAGGAACATATTTCATATATTGATGTGCATTTCACAATACAATCTGCAAATATCATGGATATTTATAGTACAAACTTCTTATCTCTTACATGCCAATTGGAAACTTTTTAATTAATGCTCTTTGCTTTAAATAGTGCAATAGATAATAGTATAATAGGTGTATATTTTATAGTATTCTAATGTGTAGCTTCTTGCTTGTAATATCTTTTTTCGTAACTTCTTACAAGATTTTTGTTTAAAATAATTAGTAAGATAGTATTCTACAAATGAGAGAAACTTATCTGAAATCTTTATACAAAATTATTAGTATAGGTATTTGACTGTGATACATTTTGTGATGCTTGAATTAAAATACAATTAAAATTAAACTTACAATTAAATTCAATATAATTTGACATTTAGTGTAACTTGATATTTTGTTATATGTTTTGCAGTAAAGATGTAAGCTCCTCAATATCATAGAAACAAAATGATTTCTTATCGAAAATATTTCGATCAATTTATTAGAAAGTAATAAGATTAAGTATTCTATGTTTCATATGCATTCTCCTTTATTGTAAATATTGTACTAGCATTGTAAATGTGTGTACTAGCAAATCTTTTCAATAAAAATAAATAAAAATAAATAATATCAAATGCGAAATATTAAAAAAAATTGTGAGCTGCTTATTTTAAATATTATTTTAAAAATATATAATTTTCTACTATATATATAACAAACAATTTTTTTTAATAATATAAAAATTAAATTCTTTCTAATAATATCTACTCAATAATCTTTCTAATTAATATCTATTTATCTTATTTTTTAGTACGCAATTTTATCTTCAAAATGTAAACGAAAGGAGAAAAGGATGTTTGGTGCTGATATCACAAGTTGCGAAAGATCTGAGCGTCGAATGCTTATTGGTTAGGCTATTGAAAATAAAGTCCTCTGATTGGTCAATTGTGCTAGATACCTTAAGGTGCAATTTCATTGACGCTAGAAATCAGCGGCAAATTAAAATCACTAGACTTTCTCTAGATATGGCGTCAATAAAATAAAGTTCAAACAGTTTCAACTTTTTCAGTGTGTAAAGCGGTCTTTTCATTGACGCTACTTTTTAGCGTCAATGAAATTGCACCTTAAAGGTGCGGCCTCATTGACGCTAAAAAGTAAAAAGTAGCGTCAATGAGGCCGCACCTTAACAGTTGGCAGCCCTACGAGATAGGCTGTGCAGCACTGCGCGTATATAAAATAAATTTGAAATCGCTTCTAGCCTAACCATCTTCACGCGATCGACTTTATTTGAATTGCACGGCATCGCATCGAATTATGATGCGGCGCCGATTTGTTCGAACGTAATTCGGGACATCGCGATGCTGTATAAGCGTCGAATGAGCACGAATTGTCACGCAAATATGATAAATCACATCTACTCACCGTTCACCGGCTGTTCCACAGGCCGCTCCACTCGCTCGCCTCGGGACGTCCCATTCCGATCTTGATGCACACGATATCATCAACGCGAACGCGCGACACTTTATTCGGCACTCCCGATATTCGCTCGCATCCGATAATCATCATCAAGGACGCAAATAACGCGACGCGACTTCGCTCCATCTTCGCGATCGCGCTATCACTGAACTGTGAAAAATAGCTGTCGCGCACTTTCATCGACATATTATGAAAGTCGCGCGATCATCCTTGGACACTTTCGACGCTCTTTCACTCGCGATATTCGTTTAAAAACGGTTAAAAGACGCGAAAAATGCGGACGTACGACGATCCGTGTAACTGCGTATGACTCCGATTCACGTATGACGCGTATGACGTAGCAGTCACGCGCCAACATGGCGGCCGAACCAGTGCGCATTCGTTTCTGCGTACTGGTTCGGCCGCCATGTTGGCGCGTGACTGCTACGTCATACGCGTCATAGTACGTCATACGCGTCATACGTGAATCGGAGTCATACGCAGTTACACGGATCGTTGTACGTCCGCATTTTTCGCGTCTTTTAACCGTTTTTAAACGAATATCGCGAGTGAAAGAGCGTCGAAAGTGTCCAAGGATGATCGCGCGACTTTCATAATATGTTGATGAAAGTGCGCGACAGCTATTTTTCACAGTTCAGTGATAGCACGATCGCGAAGATGGAGCGAAGTCGCGTCGCGTTATTTGCGCCCTTGATGATGATTATCGGATGCGAGCGAATATCGGGAGTGCCGAATAAAGTGTCGCGCGTTCGCGTTGATGATATCGTGTGCATCAAGATCGGAATGGGACGTCCCGAGGCGAGCGAGTGGAGCGGCCTGTGGAACAGCCGGTGAACGGTGAGTAGATGTGATTTATCATATTTGCGTGACAATTCGTGCTCATTCGACGCTTATACAGCATCGCGATGTCCCGAATTACGTTCGTACAAATCGGCGCCGCATCATAATTCGATGCGATGCCGTGCAATTCAAATAAAGTCGATCGCGTGAAGATGGTTAGGCTAGAAGCGATTTCAAATTTTATATACGCGCAGTGCTGCACAGCCTATCTCGTAGAGCTGCCAACTGTTAAGGTGCAATTTCATTGACGCTAAAAAGTAGCGTCAATGAAAAGGCCGCTTTAGGCACCGGCCGATATGACTGGCTGTGTGCAAATGAATCTTTCCCTCTGGAGTATCACTAGTCACAACACATGGTTGATGCCCACTCTTCCCGCTTCCGTTTCTGAAAGCTTATGTACGATTTTTCAAGGTTTTATAATTTTTAATCCAAATATCCATTCAATCCGCTCAAATAAAGACACGTTTAAAGAATTGCGATTTTTCTATCGATTTTAATATTAATTAATTATTACATTTTCTCATAATTAACACGTATAAAATATCTGCAAAAATGATTGTTTCTTTTACTGAGTTTACTTAACCTCATCAGTTGATTTATGCCATAGTGTAATTTTTCTGAAATAATCGATTATCATTACAGATAGAAGCAAATAAATCAAGAAAATGGCCAAGTCGAAGAATCACACAAATCATAATCAGAGTAAGTATACAATTTCATGATTAATTGTAAAAGTTATGTTTCTAAAATATTGAAGTATCCTAACCAAGATGTGTATAATTTTTTAACATTTTTGAAATGATATTAAGTGCAATAAAATATAATATAATATATCTCACAAATTTTTGCCGATTGTTGATTTTTGTTTCTTTGTAGATCGTAAAGCTCATCGTAATGGCATCAAGAAGCCTAAAAGGTACAGACACGAATCCACGCTTGGTGTAAGTTTTATATCAAAATGTTCTATTATGTCTTTATATATTTAAATATTTTATGTTTCCTACAATACTTAATCAAATCAAAATTATCTAAAATATGCAAAATATTACTTAGTAAAAAATACAGATGTTGGTATTTAATGTAACTTATTATGATATTTATTTTTAAAAATTAAATTTCATATTTATTTTAAAATTACATCTAATCTTCATGTCATTTATTTATTTTAAAATTAAATCTTATTTTTTATGTTTATATTTTTTAGATGGACTTGAAGTTTCTGAGGAATCAGCGCTTTGCCAAGAAGCATAATCTTAAACCAAAGGCTCAGTTAAAGAGGGCAGAGCAGCGCAAAGCTCTTCGTGAAGCTAAGAATAAGAAATAAATTTGTAAACTATAATGTGATTTTATTAAAATACATTTAAAAAAAACATCTCTTTTACTCCCTACATTTCTGTATCTTTAGTTTTATATCTTTATACAATTCATTCTAAATAAAATTTACGTATATATATATAGAGTAACTTTGAAACGTAAATTTTGTAGATATAAACCCTAATAATACACATCGAAAAGTTGTCCAAAGACCATCAAGAGGATATAAAATAGCCTTTCGCTGTCCTCTAGATATTCTATGGACATCTTTTGAACATGTGTGTTGTTAGGAAAATAAGAATGACTTGAAATCGCGGATCTTATACATTATTCATCGTTTTGTACATACTTTCTGTGGTCTTAGTACCTTCATAAAATTTACAGTTATATCGAATCAATATGGCCGCAAAACAGATTGCAGTAGATCCCACGAAATTAAAAATAAATAATTCGACGAGGCCGGAGAGGATTCTATTGTTTAGCGGCAAGAGGAAGTCTGGAAAGGATTACATCACCGATAATTTGCATCAAAGGTGTTATCTACAGTACATCTATAGTATTTTTTACTAAATAATAGTACACTATACAATAAAAATTGTATATAAAGTAATATATATTTTTTTAAATAAAATCACATACACATATTAAAAAAATTTTTTTTATATTAGAAATATATTTTTTTAGCTTTTATTTAGAATTGTTTGTTTTCACAATAAAAATAGAAATATCTTGAATAAAATCTATATTAATTTCAGGATTGGCTCGCAAAGGAGTATAATTATACGATTATCAGGACCCATAAAAACACACTGGGCGAAATCTTTGAATCTTGATATCAACCAATTACTGGCAGATGGAGAGTACAAGGAAAAATATCGACTTGAGATGGTTAAATGGGGAGAGAATATGCGAAGGAAAGATTATGGCTACTTTTGTCGTGCTGCTATTGATATGTATGATGGTACAGTGAGCTCTTTATTATATTAGGATATACATGAAAGATTTAATTTTTTTACAAAACAATGCATCTAAATAAACATTTTTTCCACAGCATGGAATAAGTCAGTGTGGATAATAAGCGATGTCAGGAGAAAAACTGACATCAAGTGGTTTATAGAAAATTTTGGAGATTTATGTAAAAATATACATATAGTTTGCTCTGAAGAAGTTAGACAGAAACGTGGCTGGATCTTTACAACAGGTAAGGAAACAAAAAATCACAATATAATAATTTCAATGACTCATATCCTTGAAAATAAATTACTAATCATATCAATTATAATTATAGGTATAGATGATTCAGAAACAGAATGTGATTTAGACGACGTGAATAATTGGGATTTATTGTTGGAGAACAATAACAATAGCGATATAGAAGCTATACTGCAACAGTTATTAGGACTAGTTAGTTAGCAGGAACTTTTTTATTCTGTTAAATGCACAATAAACAATGTTTTATTACTTTGTTTCCTTGAGTGATGAAATTTTTATAAGATTATTATTAATAGTCTAATAATAATTATAGATTATTCAGAAACACAGGGTATGATTCATATATATAAATTGTAAATAATCTTAAAAATTGTTAAGCAAAAATTGATTGTTATCATTCATTCGATAAGAGACTGCAAGTCATTGCAATATTAAAATTATTTTTTTTTTAAATTCAAATAAATATGTTGACCGTTTTCTGGCATTTTTTGAAACTACTCAACCTATCACGAAACACATCATCCTATGCTTATTCTTAGCTTTTTGCAGGCTTGCAAAGATCAGAAAAAAAGATAAAAAAAACAAATAAAGCTAAAAATAACAAATAAAAAAATATAATAAATAAAACAACATAGCTCAATAATTGAAAACAACATGGCTCCTGTGATCTGTGATTAGTGCCAGAGAGAAGACTGAGAGATGTCATCGCCTGCTTTGAGGTGATCTCTGAAAGCGATACTCCCTCTATGGACATTAAAAACGAGGACATGAACTACAAAACAAATGTCCACGAATGTTCTCAAAGGGTAACATATATGTCTCTCTGCTAATATAAATAATATAAATAAAAATATAAATAATTTAATTAATAATAATTTATTATATAAAAATATTAGTATGTTCTCTCTTTCCACACTATTATTTATTTATTTATTTATATGTCTTCTTTTTCTGTTCAACATTTATTTATTTATTTATTTAGCTCGCTATAAGTCAATCTTTTAAAATATAACTAAAAGCAAAACTAAATATTATAGAATTTGACTTCGGAAAAGCACGGTAAAATAATCGAATAAATTCAAATAATTAGATCCGTGATAAATTATTTAATAAATAATCAATTTTAATCAATAAATTAAAATACTTCCATAATTTAATATTCCATGTTAATGTATATTTTATAATTTATAAAATATTTTGGCAACGAATTATCGACATGGCATTCGACTTTGGCAATATAAACAATAGCACGCTATTGTTAAATATGTTACGGCTTTATTATCATTCGCATGCTGACACTTGAGCGATAAAGTAGTGATGCGAAACGCTTCGAATTTTTTTTCTAAACACGATTACGATTAGTATCAAAACATAATTTGATATAATTACTAATAATTAAAAATAAATTAACTTATGATAAACGTCATGAAAATATATCGCAACAATACATCTTTATCGAACCGCAATCATTAATTACTGTTAATAAAAATTGAAAAAGGGAATATAAAAAGGAATAAAGAAATTAATTTTATTATGATCTTTCGATTATTGCTGCTTAGTATAATAATTTATCTAACTTATACTTATTAGAATTAAATAAATTTCGACCAATGTTTTAAATTTTCTTAATCGGCAATCATTCATAGAATATTTCAACAACGAATTATAACAATAACATAATATAAGTCGGTCTTGGCGATATAAACAGTATTGCGGTAATGTTTCTGACCTACGATCATTCCCTCAATGGCCTTCGAACAGTGAGGTAGTGATATGAGACGTTCCATATATTATTAAATTCTTTCTCTAACAATTATTTTGAACATTGCTTTATATAATAGATTTTCTCTTATCTTTTATATTTTTATTTATCGTTTATATTTGCGAATTAAAATTTATATAGTATATTACAAAATTAATTATATATTATATTATATATAAAATTATATATATAATATAATATAACCCTCCCATAGGGTACACCTTGTCGCGGTGGGAGGGCTTAGTACCTGGACGGTGCCTTGAGATTTATCTTAAATTTTTCAATTTATGATAAATCTTAAGGTGCCTGAAAGGGAAGCTAAGTACCTTTTCGCGTCGTCGGTGCCGTCAACGTGCCGCGGACGGCAAGCGCTTCGTCAACGCGTCGCGTTAAATATATACATATTAGGGAGTGCCGTTAAAGGTATATACATATTAAGTATATACATCGCGTGTAAAATAACGAAAATAGCGATATAAAAATATCGCTGGCGAGTGCGGGAGTGTCGTCAGTATCGCGCGCCAACAACATGAGATACGATATATTAAAGTGCGTTTCTCGTAATTATTCCGCGATCGGGAGTGCTATGCAAAGTGTCTCGCAATCATTTCTGTACACGGTTAAATATAATTAATTGTTTGTTCGCGAGTGAATATCAGTGCTACGAGGAAACAGCAAAGAATGAAAAAGAAAGGAGAAGGACATCTGGAAAAGTATTGGACAGCCAGAGAGCAGTGACAGAGCCTGAAGCATCCAGAGAGATATGTGGTGAGTAATTTATAAAAATTATTTATTATTTATATATATTATTTTCCAGGGTTGGGAAGTAACGCGTTACTTGTAACGTCGTTACAGTTACTTTTTTCGATAACTGTAACGGTAACGACGTTACAAATTTCGTAATGAAAAAAGTAGCTTTGTTACAGTTTTCGGTAACGAATAACGAATTTAACAATTACTTTTATTGCCACTTTTTGCAAATTTATGAATTTATAAATTTAATTTGCGTTTAATGAATTATTTTTTTCGTTTTTCTCGTTTATTTTTTTCTGCTTTATGATATTCACTTGATATTCAAAAAAAGTAATTACGCACTAATCAGCATACGATTATACAGCAATTTACGCTTTGTACAACACTCGCGACGTTACACCAAGCCTTTTGTCATTTTGCTATGTGATAATAATGCAATATATCTCAAAAAGTTATGACTCACTCGACATTAATTAAAGTCAAAATCAAATCGCGCCACTCGCTGTGTAAATAAAAATCGTACAAATTAATAATCACTAATTGTAAAAACTATACAGAACAATCGCGTTTTGAAGGATCGATTCTCGACGAACGATTCGAGTCTTCCCGCGAGAAGTCAAAATTGAGTTCGAACGCGTGACGCGCGTAAAAATAATATATCAATTCGTCATATAACAATTCTTTTAAGAAAATAACCAGTATATTGAAACAGTTTCACCAACTGGTCAATTGATCGGTTTTTATATCAGTAATTAAATCGGTAAAACTGTTTCGATATACTGATTATTTATTTTAAAAGTTTATTCATTGTTGCCGCGATGTTAACGTACGGGATAAACGGAATACATTCGTAAGTTACAATTTTATTATTAATAAATAGTTGATTTGACCATTGCTCTTTGCATTATTCGAAATACTCGATTATACGATTGGAATATAATGAGAATATAATTTCGGAACACGTATTTCGCGTGATGTGTTCATTTAATTAAAAATAGAATCGAATGCAATTAAGAATCGATGTGTGACCGGAATCAAAATTATAAATTATCATTTTGTTGCAATCCTTAGGAACAATAATTATTATTCTTTTAATATTTATAATTAAGAATATTTCGTTGATCGAATGGCAAAATCGAATAATTAACGTAATGGAAAGCCTTGTGATGTATATTAATCGTTTAATAAATAATTAATCTGTGTGTACATGTGTGTGTGATTTTAAAAATATACTTGTATATAAATTCAATTTTCGTATATATACGTCATAGCGTTAAATATTTCGGCAGCGAGGTCAATAACACGACGTTCGGCCTTGATGACGTAGCGCTGTATTGTTTACATAGGCGAAGACCTTGTATCATTCGCACGGCGATATTCGAGTAGTAAAGTAGTGATACGGAACACTTCGTATTATTGAATTCTTTTTCTAACAGTGCGATCGCGATTAATATCGATATATAATTCGCTACGACTATTACAATTAACAATTAATTAACTCTTAATGAATAACATGAAACTATATGGCGATGATACATCCATCGAAACGCGATCCTTCGTTATTGAAAAATAAAAATTGAAACAAAAGAGCCGAACCTGTTGACTCGAAGATGACTCTTGTGTGAAACGGGATTTTCGCTCGTACCGAAACCGGGAGTGCCGTTTAAAGTATATATATATATATATATTAAATATATACATCGCGCGACAAAACAGAAAATTTTTAATCATATCGAATAGTGCGGGAGTGCCGTTCAGTATCGCGCGTAAAATAACGAAAATAACGATATACAAATATCGTTCGCGAGTGCGGGAGTGTCGTCAAAGTATCGCGCGCCAACAACATGAGAGGAGGAGGAGGCCTGGAAGAGGCATATCTTACATCGGCGGAGCAACCTGGTGAATATTTATTATTTGTCATCTCAATTGTTATAAATCATACGCATAATAATTGGTTCTTATAATTTAAAGGAATTAAACAGAAAATTAGAGAGAAAGATTTTTATAAATATGAAAATTTCTATTTAAAAAATAATTTTAAAATTTATAAAATCTTCCCATACGTGTTTATATCTGCTTATTATTTTACACACCGAATATGAAATTCCGCAGCCTTGTTATAAATGAATTTTATATTTGTATGTTTCAGACGTAGTTTTAACGACAACATAATAACGAATAACGATAACCCCGCTGCTGCACATTAATGCCATGGTGAGTGATTAAAAACTTTTATTTAATTTTAAGATAACGGTAGAGATTGTAGATAAATCTGTTGCCTTAAAATAGATGAGCTGGTATAGATTAAATACCTTTTAATAAATTCGTTTGAAATGTATTGCATTCATCGCGAAAACATTACAGTATATCAGAAAGAAAGAAGATCGAGAAAAGATCACTCTTGTAATTTTATCTAATTTATTGAAAAGAACATTAAAAATTCTAACAATTACATCTGATACTAATTTATTCTTATAACACGTATTTATCTTATTCACTTACCTTATTCTAATTTCTTATAGCTCGTCCATTATAGAATTTGTTGTAGATATTGTTTTTAAGCTTAATGTAAAGCCAAATGATTAATTATTATAATGAAATAACTTGTAATATGATAAGTGTTATACATATATTAATTTTTTTATAAATTTATTATTAATTCGTACATCTGCAATCGAATATTCCAATTATTGTCGATTTATTTAATCGTCGCGTTTTCTCGCGAATTTTAAATCGCAATTTATTTAGTAATTTAATTGTTGGTTTCGAAGTTTATTTTATTCATTTT